CCAACCAAAATGGGATCCCAAAACGGTCTTGACCACAGCCATTTCTACCCAAACGAAGCCAAACCAAACGAACACAGCTGGTCCGTCCTCGAGCTCCGCGTGCTGCAGCTGCGCTTGCTGCAGGTCAGCACCTGGCCCGGGAGGTGGACAGGGTGGACATGATGCCGATGACGCAAAATCCCTTCGCACGAAATGAGTTACCATGCTTGGAACCAGAACCTTCCATTTGGTTTTTTGACCGATACATTCCCTTTAAAACCAACAGGGGCAAACCAGAACCTTCCATTTGGTTGTTCGACCCCTGGAAACCAGAAACATATTTCCAGTAGTGATAGATTCCCTTTAAAACCAACAGGGGCAAAAAGACAAATACTATTCGAATGGAATGTACCTTTCTTGGGATTTGGGATTTGCAGGGCGATTGAATCAGAAACCAGGGTTTCTTCTGAGGTTTCTGGAAGGTGGTGCGAAATGGCTTTCGCAGTATGGCATGCTTCTGCTACAGATGGGCCCCTTCAGGTGGATTTCGAAACCAGGCCCTGGCACTAAAGTCGAAGACGCCGGGAAGGTGGCTGAAACAAAGCTAGGTCCTACCACTAAGACCTAGGATGAAATCAAAAGGTCGGCGCAGGGGAAAGCCCGGCTAAAAGGGCACTCCGGGCTCCGGGTCGTAGAAAGGACCCGAAGCTATCAACGCACCGGGCACTCTGATCGCGAGGTTGACAGCAAGGCTGGGGGTGTGACGGACACTTCCTGCAGCTCACCTGTGAGGTCATTTACTAGAAAACTGCTTGGAGCCCTTACGCTGCGCTTCCCCACAAACACAACCAGAAAGATGGTGCGCGTTGTTGGACAACCTCGGAATAAGATGACCTGGCTGCAATCACGATTGCAGGCGCCCGTTGGCAAGCTGGCTAAAATTCAAAGTGCTGAGAACAGATGTTGCGGCCCTCCCCAGTGGGCGCCACGAAAAGACGAGGAACATCTTTGAAGGATATGGCCATGGCTCAGAATCCAAACCGTACCCCCGGTGAACATCCCAATCCCCACTAAAATAGGTTCTAAAACGGGTGTGCACCTACCCCAACGTGCATCCCAATCCCCACTAAAATAGGCCAACATAGAAAAAATGGGTGGTGCATTCACCTACCAACCAAAATGGGATCCCAAAACGATTTTGACCACCACAGCCATATGGCTCCGGCCTCTCGCCACAAAATTCTGCAGCATCGCCTTCTTGAGCCGCGCGGACTCAAGGCAAATGCCTAAGCTTCGCGGCCAAACTTCTAGGGGTTGATTCCTTTTCCATTCTTTTCAACCATCGTTCTTTTCAAAAACCAGCTGTTTCCCCTGGGGTTCTGATGGTTTTCTGGAAAGAAATTCGGATCCCTGGAAAGAATGGGGAACGTCCCCTAGAAAATTGGGTTCGGCCACCTGGGACTTTCTCAATATGGTAGACTCCCTTTTGCTTTGTATCTAAAGGGAGCCAAAAAAAAATCGACCAGTTTAGGGCCTTTTAGGGCTCCTAATTTAAAACAAGAAGACACTTAGGTTCTCCCCCTAGCAGGATTGCCTCCAGCGATCGGGGGGGTGTTGAGAGTAGGTTGTGTTTTTGTTGAATTCCCTTATGTTGAATTCACATTCTCGGGGGCCTAAGCAGGGCTCGCTCCAGGGTTTCGCGTCTGTTGTTGCAAAGTCGCCCGGGGCAAACAGGCGAAATTCCAAAAACACCACACCAGGCCCTGGAGCAAAGCTGGTGTCCGGCCCCAGGTGGGAACCAAACAAAATTAGGCCCCCGAGAATGTAAATTCAAAAGGTGTGACCCTAAAAGAAAAAGTCCGGATGGAACCAGGGATGCTATTTGTTTGGAATCACCAGTCGCTCACTCACTTGCTTGGTGACGAGTCGGAATTAAGGCAACCAAACATAAATCAGCTAATGTCACTTCAAACAAAACAACAACAAAAGACCAAGCAACAAAAACTGCCAAGGTTCCGCAGAAGAACGGACGACACCTGGCTACCATATCCTTACGCCGCGTCCTTACGCTCCAGTTGAGGCACAAGTAACCAGGTAAACACTTGCAGCTGGAATGAACGAGCGCCCCAGTCTCACCGCAGCTTGGCTTCAAGCCAAACTACCGTTGAGATGTCAATGTAGGAAAGGAGCCTCCCCAGTTTTTCGCAAGACCCGGCCCTCTCCTTGAACCAAGGAGAACAAGGTCCTCCAGTCGAGAGGTTAGAATAAGGGTGCCCGATTTTCTGCAGTCTATTTTAGAAAAAAAGCGTGGGCCTGGGCCAGCCCTGAGCGACCCGATCGGGTCTAAATGCCTACGGCATTTGTTTATTTTGCTAGGTCCCCCCAGTAGTGCCCTTTTACCCTTTTTTGGGGGAGGGTTGCAACTCGGAGATTGAGCACAAATTTCCAGCGATGGGATTCCAGCCATAGGTGTCGAATTTAGGGCAAATAGATGGCCCTGGTAGATGATGAAACCCATGCAGGATGGCAAAGGGACTTTTGCGTGCTGCACACCTTGAGGCAGGGACGGGGGCGTTGCAAACATTGGGTTGGTCTCCAAATGGGTGTGGGTCATAATTCTACCCACCAATGGGTGGGTTTTCATGCTGGTGTCTCTTTGAACCAACTTCAAATTAGGGTTCCCTCGAAAAACACACCCGATGGAGGAACCTCCAAAATAGTTTTTTTCCTTGGTGTTGTGGGGCAAACCTATTTGAGGATGCGCTGGAAATCGAAGGCAGGCTGCGACCTCAAAGATATTCCACATCCCGCAATATGCTTGGAATGGGCTGATTTGCAAGCTGGAAGGACGGATGGTCCGAAAGAAGTTTGTTTTGCGCCGCCGATTGTCTTGAAAATGATTGTTTGCTATCTCTCTTCTGCTATTCTCTTGTTGTGCGATGTTTCTCTCTCCGGTTTTCTGGAATAGCGCTTGTGCAAATATGATCTTGTAATGATTTGCTTGCCCAGTTTCCTTTTGTGCAATTTCTAAGCAACTTCTCTTGTGCAATGTTTTCCAAGTTATCTCATCGCTTTTCTGGAACAACCTGCTGTTGTCACAGTACAAGTTCTCTGTACAAGTTTTCTTTGTGCAAGCTTTCTGGTTTTCTGTGCACAAGTGTGCTCTGCAGGTTGCTTTGAGCAAGCTTCTCTGCGCACGTTCTCTGTGCAAGTCTTCTGTGCCGTCACGACGAATGCCGGCTCTTTAACACATGATGACCTTCTGAAGGGCAGGGTCATCTTTAATCATGCCGCCAATCGCCGCCAATGATTGATTTGATCACTGAGCTCGCCAGATCAATGAATCGCTGTTGTACTCACTTTCGTTTGGGGAGCAGTCTCGAGGCACTGCCGCCATCGTTGGCACTGCACGGTTTCTCTTTGCAAATTTCTTTGTGCACGCTGCGCACTGCATTGTCCCCACAAACTTGCGAACTTCAAGCTGGAGCTGCCAATTGCACCGCAACATGTTGTACTGTGGTTGTCAAGAGGGGCTGTGGAACACAATCTTTGTGGGCTGACTAGAAGCTTGCATTTCCCGTGTTCCGCTCATTGGCAGCCACAAATCCTCCATGTTTAGGCCCTCTGTGAAAGTCGCGCGCCTCCATGTTCAAAACCAAAATGCAATTGTTTGAGCTTCACAGTCGACCTTGTGCATTTCCTGTGGGTCTTTGCACAGCGACGCGCAATCCTCCCACAGAGCTGCGCGTGATCCGCAAAATGCTGATTTGTTTTGGGTTTTCGAACATGGACCCACAAACACACACACACACACACCAGAGAAAGTTGCTTTTGAGAGTGGATCCAGTCCCACCGCGTGCTGCAAGCGACTAGTTTCAATATCTAGTGCAACACTCTTCTTGCGCCAACTTCATGCAAGTGTCCTTGTGCAAGTCCTCACCCATCTATATTTCAACCAAATTAACCACAAAGGACACCTACGGATACACCCTCTTTCCCCCAAAGCCAAACATGGCAGGACCGGAACAAAATTGCCGGGCAGCTCATGTCCTGCGATTGGAGTTTCACGCGGCCCAAGTTTTGAGGAACGATTGCTCACCAACTCGTTGATAGTTCATTCGTGGACAGCTTATGCATTTGTTTGGGGGGTTTGCGGACAACTGGAAACCACAGGCAAGTCAAAGCCCATTTTAGGAGCCTCCTGTGTCTCAAGCCAGGTTATTCATTTGAGGGCTGGCTTTGAAAAGGCATGCAGAACCAACTGCCAAGGGTCCGCAACATCCAAACTACTGGAGTTGCTTTAAAACCCACCAGGGTAGAACATCAGTCCCTGGGAAAGGGACAAATCAAATGTGCAATCAAACGTTCGACCTTTTCTTGGTCAACAATTTCAAACGCTCGAAGCATGTTGACCCATGGTAGCCAAACCCATTTCGGAGACCGTGGACGCCCCCCCCGGTCCGCCCATGTCACATGGGATCCCAGTGGCCGTGGCCCACGGCGTTTCGCAGGTCCGCGCCCGAGAGATCGCACCGCGGGAGCTGCGCGTTGGACAAGTCGCAGCCCTGGAAGTTGGCGCCGGACGTCGAGGCCTTCGCTCGGCGCTGCGCGGCGCTGGGGGCTGAGCGAAGCGCCCACCACGCTCCGAAGACGGTCCGCCAAACAACTGCGGGCCTCATGTTTCTCGACCTCGGGGTAGGTCCTAAACCACAAGGGTGGATAATGGCTGTTTGACCTGTGGCAACTGCCATGGATGCGTTCACATATATGAGTAACAATTCAAGATGAAGTCACCTAACCGTGATTGATGTATCTATGCAGCTTTAGGGGCTTATCCATGTGGGGTGGGTATCGCTTGCAAAGTTGTTGGGACAATGAGCCCATGTTTGGCCGTCTGGTGGATACCCTTCGGCCGCACATGGTTTGGCGCGCTTTTTTGGTCCGCGTGTCTTGGAAAGGGCCTTGAGAATCCCTAATTGCCAATGGCCAAAGGGCCAGTCCTATACTCGCTGGTGCTCTGCAGGGAATGACCTTCAGCGTGTTGCGAATAAACCGCTGTGGGATTTACTAGGAAACCAAATCGGGGATGGTGTTTTTCTCAAGGTCCTTCCATGCCAAGCCCTTCGGCCCAGGACCGTGTCCTGTTTCTATCCTGTGCTTCCTTCCCACCCGCATTTTTTTCGTCCTTCCAAGCCCTGCCAAGCCCTTCGGCCCCGGACCGTGTCCTGTTTCTATCCTTCCCCGCAAGAGTGCTCACTTCAAACAATCGCCGATCGAAACCTGATTGAAGGCAAAATTCGAGGAAGCTTATCCCATGTTCTCGTTGTGAGTTCTGTTGCAACAGATCCCTTGATCCTCGTTGTGAAGGTTCTAAGCCCTTAGGCTGAGATCAGGTGGGGATTCATGTTGACCCAGGATTAATAAACCCGTCCCATTATTAGGGGGGTGTTCCCTCCAAAAGTGATGAACCTCCACTAAAAGGGGACCCCCCCTATTAATCAACCAGGGGTTTATTAATCCGGGGTTAACAGTATCTTCCATTCATCTGGTCCGAAAGGCAAAGGAGACGGCCTTTGCCAATTCCGCGCGTGGGCCCCGCTCCCCAACTTCTTGCGTGAGTGGGGAGCCAAAGGTCCGAGTTCGTTCTAAACGTCCGAGCCGCCGAGTGGAACTTGCTGTTCTTCAAGTCCTGGGTATCGGGACCCAGCAGACCCTCTAAACTCCCCAAGAATTTGAGTTGGCGCAGGATGGCAGCCCAACAAAAAACGCAACTTGAGCCTGTCTCAACGCAGGCCCTTGAGCAGCTTGAGGCTTGAGCAACTTGGCTCAACTTGAGCACCTTGAAAGCCCTGGATCATAAAAAGTGTTGGTGGGCTACTTGGAGAGGTGTCCCACCCAAGAGGCCATCTCTGCACGTTTCAAGAGAAACACACCCTAGTGTCTATAATGCGTTCAGTCAGTATTCCGCCCTGGAGCAATTCACCGCTCCCCCAAAAACTGACACTCACTAGGGGCCCAACGGAAACAAGGTCAAGCACTGACTCCAACAAACACATCCGATTCATATCGATGGGTGACTGCGAATGTCGGATGTCACGAAAGGCAACTGCTACATGGCCTTAAGCCAAACGGCAAAAAATGGAGGTTTAAGGTCCTAAAACGCAGGGCTTATTGAAGACGAATCTGGATCCTAGCGACTGTACACAGGTTCACTGTCGTAGCGGCATCCGACATATTCACGACCAACCAGGAAATCGCCCCTCCACTTGCCAGCAAGCTTCGACAACTGCCACCGCAAACCATTCAAAAGCAGGGCACAACATGGCACAACCAGCCGCCAATTGAGTCACAATAAAAAGAGGAGCCTGCCCAAAACCATGGCACAAATCTGAGCAGCGGCTATCCAAACTGCTCCTAAGCCTCAACCAACCCATTGCCCACTGACCCTGGTAAAAAAGGACACCCTTGTTGGCTGCTCTAAGGCGGAAACCTACCAAACAAAAAGGACAAAGGGGTGCCGCTGAGCAACTCGGAGGTTCTGGTGGCTCAATCAGCACTCGTGCGGTGTAAAATCAGCCGTGTCATTCTGAATTTCTGTGGCAGGTCCCTACTTTGCGCCCCACTCAAAGTTGATCCTCGGGGGGCAATGAGAGCAACTCCCTACATGTTTGATACGCGTCTGTCTTCAAGGACCGCCTGAGAGACGGTCAACCCGCATCTATCAAGGACCCCGATATGGGCATGGGCCCAAATCGGGGCCCCGGTGGCTCTCCTTTTGGTTTCCCTTTAAACCAACCTAAAAAGGGTACCCTGAACAGAAACGCAAGCCTACATTCCAAACCTAGGGGGGACATTTTCCAGTGGCTGTCACAAAGTTCCGCATGGCCTGAAACCCGAATCCCGCAGAGCTCACACCTCACATCCGGCCGGCTCAGCTCACATGCAAGTGGGTGGCTCGTCGGTGGTTTCCCTTCAAAACAACCGCAACAAAGGTACCCTCAAAGCAAGACACACCTCAAAAATTATGGCCCTCTCACAATTATTCTTATCATGGCCCCCTAAAATCTCTGGGGTCAGAATCATCCCCACCACCCCCATGGATATACCTGGGCGCAGCCTGGGAGAAGTTGCACTGTTTCAGCCTGCCGGCTGAAAAATCGAGCGGGAAGCCGAGGAAGCCAACAGGGTTGCCTGCCATCAGTTTTCACCTCTTACCCCTCTGAAGCCAATTCTAAAATCCAGTTATACAAGGCTTTTACCAAGGGTTTACCAATGTTAAACCTACAAACAGTCACAAAATGGGGCCCTGCTCAGGCCTTCAAAGGTTAAGGGCATGGAAACACCCAAGGACCCTCTGTTCCCGAACATTTCTTGCAAACGTGACCGATACATGTTCACATTTGTCTCACCCACGTTCCCCGGCTGTTTTCGCTAGGTTTCACCGAATTTTCCGGACTGAAACCCAAGGGGCTAGAAACCTGGAGGGCGGAATCGACCTGGTTGCGCAACTCAGGTTCAGGTCCTCAAAACACCCGTGATGGGCTAAGGATGGCCCCCAGCTCTTGAAATTGGAAGCTACTTTCTCCAAAGCACCGGCCAAGAGCCAACATCAAGAGCCAACTTCTCTCCATCGCCCCATGTCGGCTTCCTTCCAATCGGTCTCATTCGCCCTCTTTTTTTCAAGAGCCAGATCAAATCGCCAAAACCAGCCATCCAATCCACCAATTCAGGGTTACCTGAACTGAACATGTCGCCAAAATAAGATTGCTACACAAGGCCTTGCAAAGGGCGCTCTCCAAACTACCCGTCAAAATGGGTAAGCCATGGTAAGCCGACCTTACAAAGGGTTCCAAGCCCCAAAACGAACCACATGCAGAGCTGCCCCCGTCTTTTCAAGTCTTTTCCTGCCTAGCGCCGGAGAAGTCCGCGCCGGCCAACTGGGCGCCCACCAGGGCCACCTGGCGTGAAACTGCCAATTTGGGAGATCCAAAGAGGGGAAATTGAATATATACTGTGGATGGACGAAATCCATTCGCACCATTTGGAATCCATGCAAAACCGTTGATTGTTGGCAGTTACAGGGAACCATCCTTTCGGGGTTTGCTAGATGGTGCAGGATTTCATCCATTGGGATGTATCAGCTCCAAGGTCTACCCGGCTTTTCGGCAAACAAGTAGTCCCCACACCTGTTGTGTGGACAATGGCTGAAGGAATTCTTCAGAAACAACTGCAGGGAATATTCGGCGTCTCGTGCGATCAGACCCTGCCCCACCGGAAGGTGCTTTGCTTGAATGGGTCTACTAATGCTAATGCTACTTGCTGGGGTCAATGGACATGAAGTTGGGACAGCGTGGTGTCGGTTTAGTCATGAGTTGTGCAACCCTCGTAAGATCGCAAGGTTCGCAGAGCTCGTTGTTCTTTGCTTATATGTTAAGAACACCACACTGGAGGGGTGCATTTGTCCAAGACACAGCAGTGTCAAATGTGCAATCTCCGTGCTGCCAACAAAGCCAGCTTCGAAATCCGAAACCTGTAAACCACGCCTGGAGCGCATGGGGTCGCTTAGATCCAAAATTTAGCGCGCATCAAATGAGACCGAACCGGGATCCAAACCTCTTCCCGCGAGTTCAATGCCTATTGCCCTGAACTTTTGAACAGAGCCCTGGGCTCCCAGGCGAAAAATAAGCTCAGGTAGTATCCCCAACAGCATGCGGTGCTCTCTTCTCAGTTGACGTTGGAAGGGGAGAAAAAATAATAATTCTAGCTAAACCACCATAAGCAAAAATGTAAAATGTTTCCCAACAACAACCATGAACATCCACAACAGCATGCGGTGCTCTTTTAGTGCTCGCACCTCCCCGCAGCCCTCGCAGAACCTCGTGGAACCCTGGTGGAACCCTGGTGGAACCCTGGTGGAACCCTGGTGGAACCCTGGTGGAACCCTCGTGGAACCTTACCTCAGGGCCGCCCCGGACCACCCCGGAGCCTATCTGGGCTGAGACCCCAAAGCTTTCAGCTGTTGGGGAAAAACCACATGGGCCAAAGGAAAAAGGAAACGCCTGTCCGTGTTGACCTTCTTTTTTTTTTGTGGGGGGGGAGGCAACCCAAGCAAGAGTGAAACTCGGTTGCGAAATCTGCTCCTGCTAAAAGTTTAACTTGTAGTGGTTTAACCGAAAACCCATTAGTTGGCAAAAAGTTAAAGTCGTCCTAGCATCCAAGCAACATGCACCAAAGGAAACACATAGTCAAATCCACTGACCAGAAGCAACTGCCGGCCTTTGTGCACTTCGCGGCTGTCCAAGTTGATCTCAGGAGCTCGCTATCTGCCGCGTTCAGGAGGAGAAACGGTGAGAACGCATGCACATGCGCTTTTCGTTCGGGCGGTAGGGTTTGTTGACGGTGGGCTTAGCGTGGAGGTTTAGTCTGGGGTTTTTAGGGAAGGTTGAGGAGATGAAGGACAACTACAAAGCAAACAGTTGGCCTGGGAAAAGCTCCTTGTAGAATTCCTGGTGCCTCTGAAAGGCTTTTGGTCCTTTTCCCGGGAAGCCGCTCGAATCTTGCATCAGAACAGCAGAATGAGCACCAGGTTTCGGGTGTGCTGTGTATGTGCGATGCTTTGATTTTGCTCCCAGGGAGTCCCTCTCTGTATATGGTGTTGTTCCACAAGAGCTGAAGGCCTTGCTATCGCGAGGCCTTTCGAAGGGCAACCTTTGTTTTGGGGGAGGTCACTGGTCATAGTCAAAAATGGGTTGTAAAAATGGTCTGCCTGGAATGTAAAGAATGCAAAAGGCGGGAAAGCCACGGACTATCCTTCCAAGCTTCATCTACCCGAAGTGGCTGTTTGATGTTCCAAGTCTGGCCTTTGGGCATGCCGCCGGTCCGTGGTGCCCGCCCACTGGAACCATATATCCTTCATTTACCCTGTCCACGTTGCCATGGAACCAGGTAGCTCCGAACTCCCTCTTGAAATGCAAATGTGGATGCCCATGGTTCCTTGTCACCAGCAAGTTTTGTTCGAAGGAGAAAGCAAATTTGGATACCCAGCTAGTCGTTTGGGAGGAGACCCACCAAATTTTGGGGTTTTGCCACTCCTCTCCGGCTGAGCTCGCCTAGGCACGTCACATCCTCGAGCTGGGCTTCCGTGAAGTCGGACTCCGTGGCAGAGACTTGGAAGCGGCAACTCTGCAGCGTGGCCTCCCGGGGCCACATGACTCACATGAGCAGAACCGGGAAATGACTCGACCAACCCTGGGTATGGTAGCCACAAACTTGGCTTCTTTTTGTTTGGCGGCCCCCTGCTAAACATGAGCAGAACCAATAAAAAAAAAAAAACAAGTTGTGCCATCACCAGGACAGGTTGCCCTCCCGGCGCCTGACAGGAGGTCGCTTTAGGAGGAAGTTGATCTTCCAGGTACAGGGAAACAAAGCACCCATCACCCTCCCTCCCACTAACAGAAGGCACCTGTGGGAGGGTACAAGTTTCCTTCCTCTCGGATGGAGTCAGGGGGGAACGTGGGAGGGAGGGTAACCTGCTATTTGCCGGCTTGTGACGCAGACACAAGACCCTTGTAAATGCTATGTAAAAACCCAACACGACAGGTCGGCTTTCGACCACTGAGTCATACTAGCACCGGGGGGTTGAGGGTACTCTTGAGCAAGTTCAAAAGAAATTCAATCAGAAACTCAGCGCCCCGTTTTGGGGGTGCCCCATGTTCACACACACACTCATAGCCATACTGGTCGTACTTCCCTTACGCCCACCATGTATTCAACGGGCTTAATTGGTGGCATGGAATAGCACACGTGGATAACGCAACCATCCGATTAAATCCGAATCCAGACCACCAATCCAAACCACCAGTTACCTGAGGAAAGGCAGCGCCGCGCGGGGCCTTCAGGAGGCAAGCCTTGCTGAGCTTCAGATTCAGACCCTGGCAGTTGATGATGGTCACTCCCTGGAGGTCCTCCGATGGCAATCACGCCCCGCTTGCCACACGTGTGAACATAAAGTTGTGCCCCGCCCCCGAATGGTTTCTTCTCCCTTTGATTCCAGGTTGAAACGGTACCTGCAAAAACGCATAGCTCTCACTTCAACCAGCGACCCTGTTCGCCAGATTTTGAAGGCTGGACCAGCAACCAAATTTGACACACAGCAAGCGTTCTCGTTCATGCACGCAAGCACACACACACACACACACACATCCATGTCACCTGAAAATTAAACAGGACCACAAAGAAATGAAGCCTGCATCCAAAGATTGAGGTTGCAATCAATCTTTTCATAACTCAGAAGATATATATTATAAATCCATAAACAAGATATAAGTCCAAGACTCAGAAAGCCCAAAAACAAACATGGAATTTGAAAGACAACTTTGCCCTGAAACGGGCTTGTTTCTGGCAAAATAGCTTGCCCCCACACACGAAACCTAGCGACCAACAGGTCGATCGGTCGATCCCCCAGTCTGTTCCATCGTCCTCGTGAAAAACCACAAAGGTGAATCATCTTCCCTGTAATTCGTGATTTGGATTGGGGTGGTTTGGTGGCTTGGGCTGGCTTCCCACTTGCCCTCTACGACAACCAGCGGTTCAACTCCCCGAACCACCATCCGCGTGGTGGCTTCCCATTTTCCCTCTAGAGTTCACCTCCCCAATCCAAACCAAATGGGGTCCATCTGCGCCAAGCTACGCCGTGCCCCCGCGCCCGAATTGACCCGAGTCGATCCGAATCGAGCCATGGACCCATCGACCGCCCCCCGAGGTTTGAACCGAGGCCCGGCGGCGCTGAGGTCGGCCCCCTCCAGGTCGCAGCTGTGCAGCTTGGCGTTCTTCAGCTGCGCAGACCTCGAAATGGGACGAGAGCTTAGCCTCTTTCTCTTTGTATTTTTTTCTTGGGGGGGAGGCATGAAATAGTTTTTTTCTTTTTGGGGGGGGGGCTATTTCTCTCCTTTGTTTTTAGGGGGGGAGGAGGCAGGAAACAGAAGGATGGCTGAAAACTTTCTCATCTTGAGACAAAGCTAGATGCTTCCACCCTGTCCACCCTCCCGTTTCCCTGTTTCACCAAAAAAAGCTAAGACCCTAATAAGGCTCATCAAACTTATATATTTTGAAGGAATCCGGAGGGGCACTTGGATCCGGGACTGCCAGAAATAGCCTGGGCCGGCAAGGCCACGTGTTCTTGAACGAGAACGAGCTTTGAGAGGGTTTCCAATTCCGAATGCATTTGCTGTTGAACACCCAATGCAGGGATAGACTTGTGGTTGCCTTTGAACAACGCATCATCTTTCTGCTGCGATGCTAAGAATTGGGCGGTCAGCTACCAAAAGAAGCGTTCTAAACGATCTCCTGGTATACGAAGAAGGCTATGGACCCATGAATGTCGACTACCAAACGAACACTGAGACCAAATACTCTCCATCTCCATACTGTGGATGGTTGCGAAATCCGTTTCGCACCACCCGAAAAACTCTGGCATGATTCGATTCCCCTGAAAACCCAAGCAACAATCTACGGGTATCCTTCTTTCTAGAAAACCTCCGGAAACCCAGGGAAAGCGGATCCAGGTTATGGAAAGAAAGATGGTTGAAAAAGGAATCAAGCCCTAGAAGATGGACGAAATCCATTTCACACCACCTAAGAAACCCTGGAATGAATGCAAAAAAAATCAAACCCCTAGAAACAACCCTGGGATGTTTCGACTCCCCAGTAAAAACCAACCAACGTTAAACAGCCATGGTTAAAACCATAATTCTTCAATCATGGCATTAGCCATGCAATTCCCCTGTAACCACCCGCTTCAAACATGGCTTCTAGGTCCTCCAGTAGAGAGGTTAGAATAAGGGTACCCTTTTTTCTGTAGTCTATTTTAGTAGGGGAAGCCTCCCAACCAAAAACGGGGTGAGAAGGGCACCTGGCTGGGGGACCTAGGCTTCATTCCGTGACGCATTCGCGTCCGATCCTCGCCTCAGCCTCACGTGGCGCAGGTTGGCCTGCGTGAGGCTGGCGCCGTTCAGCACAGCGTGGCAGAGGTCCGCGCCCTGCGAGAGCCGTGGGGAGATCCGGAAGCCAGGCGTACCGCTGGGGAGCCAGCCGTGGCACCCGTGCTCCAGAAATTCGTGAAGAATCCGGCCAAAAACTTTCTGATAGCCAGAAACATCCAGAAACCCGTGGGCGGGTCTGGGGATCCAGAAATTTGTGGGGATCTGGGGATCTCCAGAAACTCTTGGAGATCAAGAAAGAAACATCTAAGGATCCAGAAACCCCTAAAAAACAGAAACCCCTGAAGATCCAGAAACCCGTGGGGATATCCAGAAACCCGTGGGGATCCAGCCAGAAACCCCTGAGGATCCAGTTGAGCATATTTGGAAGCAGGTGAAGTCAATGATTGGATTTTGGAACCGCAACCCAGAAACAAAAAGCGAACAAGTTGGTGCCAAATCCCATGGGTCTGTAGTGAGGCATTCTCGAAATGGAGGGCTCCCACTTTGGCCCCTTGTAAAATTGTTCAACTCAATATGTTGCTTCCCAAATGGATCAATGTCTAAAGAGAAACCATCCTCTAAGCTTGGATTTATATTCACCGTCTGCCTGAAGGCGAGAAAACCTCCACCCGCAGGGCAAAGCAGCCAACATCGCAAGATGCGATTTCTTTGTGCTCACCGCTAGCATGGCCTTCCCAAAACGTACCAGGGAGTGCGATAATAGATTTAGGAGTAGTTACATTGACATGATTCCAACTCTTGGTGAACTCCAACTTTTGGTGAAACCTGTGGGGATATCCAGAAACCCGTGGGGATATCCAGAAACCCGTGGGGATCCAGCCAGAAACCCCTGGGAGTGAGATAATTGATTTGGGCTAACCCCCTCCCACCCCCTCGTTAGTTTCACGATTCAAACTTTTGGCTTCCGGAAACCTTGGTAAACTCATACCTGCAGTCTCCATGACTGTTAGAAAATGGGGTTCATGACCCCATTTTAAAGGGTCACGGAGACCCCAGGTACTCATTGGCTTCTTCTGGTTTCCGGCAAAGCCCGAGAAAACTCGCCGCGTCCCCGTTTCCTTGAACCCAAACAAACAACTTCCCAGCGTCGACCTCACGCTTCCCGCGTCTCTCCCGCGCGTCATCCGCACCCCCGCGCGCGAGGGGTCATCCCCGCGCCTCGAGGTTGGCCTGGTGCAAATGCGCGTCGCTGAGGTTGGCGCGCTGCAGCGCGGCCTGGCGGAAGTTCGCCTTCGCCAGGCGCGCGCTGCGCAGGCCAACGCCTCAGCGCGCCAGGGCGGCACCCCCCCCCCCCCAGCCTCCCGGGGCCATTCAGGCAACCCCGGCTGCCTTGGAAGTTCAGTTGGAACCATGTATCATGTTGGTGTATCATGTTGGTTTTCCTGGCTGGAACCATTCAAGTGGGAAAGGGGCCCGGTGAGGTGCGAACCCCCGTTTTAGGAACCAGCACTCCTGCTTTGTCACAGTGGAAATCCATGGGAAGAAGGGGGGACTATTGGTTTTGGCAAGTTGGCCTTAAAATGGGCACGCTGTTCCAAGCCTATGCGTGCTGCATGCCGCATCATGCCGCGTCCGAAGCACGAAGTTGGCTGTCATGTTTTGAGAAATGGTACCTTCAAATGGGGACCCCTCTACTTACTACCAGCTCCCCCCGCAATTGGTGGTTTGGTTCAACTCAGGATTGCGCGAGGCATGCAACCAACAATCAGCTTCCGCTTTGGCTCAGTATGCCACCCAAATGTAACCCCCACACCAACGGAAACAAATAAGTGGGAAATAACTTTGGAGAAATACTGGAAAACCAGCTGGCTGTGGTATTGTGATACCAAAACCAGATTCCCCATGGCTACTTTGCTGACAAGGGCGGATGTTTGGCATCAAAAAAGCTGCGGAGTATCTTTCCCACAGGGCAGAAGAACTCTGATTTGCCCATTCTGTACTGACTGCCAAATGGAGGGTCAGGAGCCAACACCCCAATTCCCCGTCCCCTTGCGTGTAAATGACACCATGTGCTATTTGGCACCCATGGAACTCGGTTGACGTTGGAAGGGGAGCAAGAAATTAATTCTTAGCAGTTAAGTGGTTGGATTCCAACCACTAAACCACAACAACTTATTGTGGTTTAGTGGGAAATCCCCACTTAACTGCTTAAAAAGTGTTTTTGCTCCCCTTCCAACGTCAGCCGAGTGCCGTAAGCAAAAATGGCAACATGTGTCCCGTTCCAACAACCATGGGACGCTTCCCGAAAAATTCCTTCGGATCCGGCCAGGCGCCGTTCATGCTGGCTTCTAGGAAGTTGGCGCCCTCTGCGGAGCATTGGCCCAGCCTGCATGGAGTGCGACATGCGCAGGTAATTTCCCGGAAAGGCTCTGAGAACCCTTGGGTTGTAGGCGCCCTAAGTACCACATGGTACCACCCCCCCCCCCCAAAAAAAAAGAGCCCCTCCCCCCCAAAAGAAAAAGAAAGAACAACATGCCACTTACTCCTAACTCGGGTGGGAGAAGCCAAATTTCCATACGGTTTGTTTTAACAGCATCGGAATTGTGTTTGTCTGTGTGTTCTATAGCCTCAGGTCTTTCCAAATGAGATTCGTTCAACGCCCCCCTGCCATGGGGAAGCCACCCAAAACAAAGGCATGGCAAAGGCCAGCAACCCAATGTGACCCAAATGGGTTTGAGCAAGAGGGCCGCCGGCCATGAGGCCTGGAGCTGTGAAAGTGTCATTTTTGAGGACTTGCAGGACACTTAACCTTCACGCTGTGCTAAAACTCAGGCATGACCGACCCTTCTGCTGAACAAACGGGCGGGATGCTCCACACTTGATTGCCCCTTACTCCATTTCCGGATGCGCCCATAGGTGTCCTTTTAGAGGAAATGGATGGCCCTGGTAGATGATTAAACCACCAGGTAAACCGGGAATCGCCATCTATTTTTCTACCAAAACCACCAAAAAGGACACCTATGATCACGCCATTTGCCATCCCCTTTTGCTTCACCAGGGTGAAAGTAGATGGCACAAGGCGCCTTGTGGGCAAGCAAAGGGTGACTAAAACCAACCAACTGAAGGTAACCTCGGGTTTTTGAATTTGGGGGAACCATTTTTCTACCAAACCAACAAGGACACGCCCAGTCGTGTCCCCCGCTGTGAAAGTTGAGGTGCTGGGCGTTGCTCATCATGGCCCGGCAGAGTTGGGCGCCGTCCAGGCACGCGGCCGTCAAATTGGCCTCGCCTGAGAAAAAAGCGGCTGGAGCGGTGGGCGTCGGTTTCTAGGCCCTCCAAGCGCCACGTCTCCAAATACTAACCCTCCAAATAAAAGGGTAGATATGTTTGTACAGAAGTGGGGGCAAACCCCTTCATCCCACAACCCTGATGGGGATCACCCTCCAAGCCTAGGTCCTCCAGAGTTTAGAACAAGGCTACCAACTTTCTTCTGTCTGTTTTAGACACGGGGCAAGGGCTTCTGTGCGGCTTGCTCCCCTTTTTGCTGCAATGCCAGCTGGGTGACCTAGGCGCGCTTCGTGAAACGGCCAATGGGTTGGCCCAAGAAAGCCGATCGGTTTACCAGGCTGGCCGGCTGGCCCTTGAGGTAAGGGGTTCTCATACCTCTGAGTCGCCCCTTAGGGGCCCAGGAACAAAAGGCACGTAACCTTTTGGGTTGCCTTTACTAAAGATAGACCAAACATGGAAAATCAAAAGGTTACAAGGTCGATTCGCTTTGGGCAACTGAGTTAGGGGTTCTCTTAATTGAACTTCGTGGGCTAGGGAAGTGTCTGGCCCCCCGCCTCCCGGAAGGTTCCTCTTGAAAGCTCTCGTTTGGGCCCGTTGCTCCATTTCCCATTCAAGCCACCCAGCAAAGCATGAGGATTGAGGATCGATATTGAATCATCCAAGTAACATTGGACCTTTTGACAAATAATCCCTTCTCCCTAATGCACTAAAACCGACTCTCGAGAATCCCGAATCCGGGAATACTACTTTTAGAATTCTCAATGCTAAACCAATTCTAAAGTAGATGTTCTCCCTGCCCGTGCCCAAATCCATCCCTATTAGGGGACCCTTTTTGCACCTTCCATCCTTCAAACCATATTTCTTATTTGGGGGCTTTTAGTAGAATAGGGAAACTCAGGGTTCCTGCTGAATCCGAAAGACTTGACTATTTGTTTCTCAGGGTTTTTATCCAAAAACGAAGCGGGGACCCCCTAATGCTAAAACCTGGTTTTCCCAAGGGACCCGCTTAGTGTTCGGGGGGGACGTTTAGCTTTGGGGGGAAGGGATTGACCGGGAAGGGCTACTACACCGCACTTACCATGGGGCGGCACTTACCATTGAGCAAACTTCAGTTGGAGGACTTTTCAAGTGGGATACCCAGTTGATACTTGAACCGAGCCTGCCGCGGGCTCGAGGAATGAAAGTAGATGGTGGAATAGCTTTGCCTTGCGCAAGCTAAACCATGGGCTGAGTAATGAATCAGCAACCAACTATGATTGCAGTTTTCCGTTTGGCTTCCAGTGGAAACCAACCAAATGGGTTGGAACCCCCTAAAAGGGTGTCCTTTTGAACCCCCACCCAAAAAAAAATAAATAAACAAATCTCTCCTTTTGGTGTCCCTTTCAAACCGCACAAAAAGGAGACCAACTCAAGAAAAAGGAGATCAACTCATTACCCAAAAGCATGGAGTCATTGACCCATGTTTCTATTTGGGTCATGGAGTCTGGAGGTACCCAACCCCCCCCCCCCCCCCAAGAGAGTCTGCGGTCTGAGACGTCTGAGGCGCCGAGGCTGGCAGCCTCCAGGCGGCAGCGGCGCAGCGAGGCCCGGCGCAAAGAAGCGCCCTCCAGGTAGGCCTCCTGGGCTGGGGTGGGGGAAGGTGGGGAAGGTGGGTGGGGTGGGGTGTAGGGTGTGGGTGGGGTGTGGGTGGGGGTGGGGTGGGTGGTGGGTAAGGGTGGGGTAAGGTGGGTGTGGGTGGGTTGAGGGTCCCGTTCTCAGCTTGGCTTTGTGTTTTTGAAACCAAACTCCGTAGCTTTGGCGAGCTTTAGGGCCGACTCTTTCGACACAAGCGCAAGTTGCAGATTTTCCTATTGGTTTCCCACTTTCGTCGGTTTTCCCACTTTTTGGCACTACTCTGGGCAGAAATGAGCAAGCGACAACGAAACTCCAAATTGAACAGTTTGTAAGGCCTAGATGTCAAACATGAAAAGAAGCTTCGGCACTGAAAACGCTTGGCAGCCCGCCTGCCTATCAGCAACGCGGCATGGGAATGGCTTAAGCGCAGCGCCTGCGTTCGTGCGCAGCGCCTGCGTTCGTGGGCTGATCTTAGCTTCTCCGCATGAAAGGAACAAAAACAAAAGGGGGTTGATACACCAATATGAACAAATATACGTACATGTGTGTATATGTATATATATATATATTTATTTATTTAGCCCACTCAATTATTACCCAATCAGATGTTACGCGCGGCATCCTTGCCCGCTCACATCTTGGGATCCCGCGCACGGCCTTTCAATGGCACGAGCGAAATCGCCTGCTCACCCCCCTCAGCTTCTTTTCGGGGCAACTTTCGTGGCGAACAATCCGGCCTCATTAGTTGACCATGATCATAGTCATCAAGTGGTAGGTTAAAGGGAAACAACCCCATGTTCTGACTTTGATAACCCCCAGAAACAGTAAAAATAATGACCCCTGACAAACGCCCGGTTTTGCGTTTGTGCGTGGTTTGCCATCCTTTGTTTACATTGCAGCACCTCAAGTGGCTCATGGCTGAGCATGCATCCCCGAGCAAGCGTCCCAGAAACATGCGAAAGACAACGGGGGCCTTGAATCGACACTTAGACGCTTCAAAGCCAGATGCTGCTTGCGAGCGCGAAGCTTTGAGATGCTTTGAGTGAGATCTGCGCCCTTCGGGACTTTCAACTTCCGGTTCGTTTCAGGAGCCATGCCGGCGCTGGCTGCACCGGACCCTTGCTTTGGGCTGGGCGATGTCATTCAACTGTCAGCTCGAAGCTTCCTGAGTGGCCTAGCATCTTCAAACGATGGGGGGTAGCTTTTTGCAGCCTTTAAGGAAGCAAAGGCCACTGTAAAAGAGACCAGAGGGCAAGTCTGTGCCTTCATGGTGATCCCTGCGCAACAAAAATACATAGACAAGTCTACAAATCCTCACTGAACGTATTGCTTGCACATATTGGCGTTGCGCTGCGCGGTCCTGCATGTCGCGGCCCTCCAAATTGATGCCCTCCAACTCGGCATTGCCCAGCAAGGCGCGCCTGGGGCGCGCAGGGAGCCGACCGCATGCATCAGGCTAACCCAGGCAGAAATACGCCAATGATGCGAACAGCGCAATCCGGCCATGAAAAGATGGATAAATATAAATACCAACAGCCAAGCCACAGCTTTGAAACACATGAAAATAGCTTCCAGCTTGACCACCTGATTCGCAAATTGCACTAACCACCCATGGGGGTGCAAAACTCTGCCCGCAATAAAAAGGAACCCCTCTTGGGTGGGTCTGGCAAGGTCCATTGCAGGAGCTTCCTGAGGCTCTCTCCTCGGACTTCAAAAAACGAGGTTTCCTGCAGGAGTGCCACGTCTGTTGGAATGGTTGGTACTGCAATCCGTGCCTCAGGCCTCGCCAGAAACAGTTGACATTTCGATACCTTTCGAATTTTTGACGGGCAGTCGGACATTGCCGGTAAAGGCTAGGTCCTCCAGAAGAGAGGCTAGCATAAGGCTACCCGATTTTTTGCTGTAGTCTATTTTAGTAGGGGAACCCTCTCCCAAAAAAGGGAAAAAGGGCACTGGGGGACCTAGAAGGGAAGAGTCTCAACAAAATACACAATGACATGTTGTCATTGGCCCTGCCTCAGGTGCCCGGCAGCTGCCAACTGCTTCGCCACAGCGGGCGGCAGCTCCTTCGCTGCCTTCGGCGCTGCCACCTCCGCCGGCGGCGAAGGCTCCGGCGGCGGGGGCGGGGGTGCTGGCTCCGCGATGGCCGCCTGCGGCACGCAGACAGTCGAAGCCAAGCGCGGTTGCAGCTTCTTTCTTGGTGGGTTCGGGGTTTGTGTTTTTTTGCAACCAACGCGGGGTTGACAACTTTAGCGCGGAGCGGACGACATAAACAACAGGTGTTTTGGGGAGGTCGTGTGAGCAATTGGTTGTCCCTGGGTAGTACCTATGAAATGGTCCTGCACCAGGGAGTTGACAAGTTCAGTGGGAACCAACCAAAAAAAAAACATGTGAGATTTTCTGTTGGGTTGAATTGCACTGAGCACTAGTACAATTGCGGTTTCCCTTTCGACGGCCCTTCTATCGATCAAAGGGCCCCTGCTTAGCGGGACCCACGGCACAGCAGCGCTGCGTCCGGCTGCATCAGCGCGATTTCCCCCATGGCAAGAATATAATCCAAAGTGCGGCACTTGATAAATGGAATGCAAAGACTTGCTGGCCCTCCGCGAGGAGAACGAGGGAATGCCCAAGAAAAACCAGTGTTATGGTTTCCTTGAAGGGGATACCCTCCTGGTTGATTCCCACAACCCGGAAGGTCATCCCCTACTGAGCACCAGCAAGAAGAACATCAAACAGTTGCGAGGAATGACTGAGCTGCCCGATCCGAGATACGAATCAGCCAGCCACTGAGCGGCTTTGGCGTTGAACCGCTCTACACATGTTCGTTCTTTCACATGAGGATCCATGGGGATCAACGTCCAACCTTTTGGGGCCGTGGCAAAAGATGTCAAACTTGGTTTGAACTCTTGGTGGCGGGGGTGGGGGGCGGACATCTCGTTTTGGGGACCGCCATCCAACCTGCAAGACGTAAAGTTGGCACCCCATGAGTCCCCTCCTTTGGTTCGCCCAGACCTGTGGTTCCCCACCTGTCAATTGGTCGCCTTTCAGAACGCACTTCAATACTTGGTTGACGTTGGAAGGGGAGCACAAATTTAAATTTTAGCAGTTAAGTCGGGATTTCCCTCTAAACCACAATAAGCAAAAATGTAAAATGTTTCCCAGCAACAACCATGAATACCCCCTCTCCCCAAAAAAGGCGAACATTGCACGTTGGACGGGTACAGTGACTGGTCATCCATGTCCTGCCATCCGGCGATCCATCCAAGCGCCACTTCTCCAAATACTAACCCTCCATATGAAGGAGAGATTTTCTTGTACAGAAGTCGGGGCAAACCCCTTCATTCCACAACCCTGATGGGGATCACCCTCCAAGCCTAGGTCCAGTAGAGAGGTTAGAACAAGGCTACCAAAGTTCTTCTGTAGTCTATTTTACTAAGGGAACCCTCCCAACCAAAAACGGGGTGAGAAAGGGCACCTAGCCTGGGGACCTAGAAGCTTTTGGGGCTGCGAAGGGAAAAAACAATCACCAAACTCTTCCATTTGGCTAAGACCCCTGGAAAAACAACATATTTCCAGCAGTGATAGGTTCCCTTCAAAACCAACAGGGGGAAATAAAACATATTTCAGCAAATGGAAGATAAATTCTGATAAAGCAAGGGGTTCCCTTGTCCCCCTAGGCCTTCAGTGTGGTGTCAGCTTAAGCAAATCGAAGAACTCGTCGCACGGCGCGCGCTTTTCGCCTCGCTCCCGAAGCGCGGCGCCAAGGCGCCGAGCATCGCCGCCGCCAGCTGCGTCACCAGCCGCTCCGCGCTTGCCGCGTCGCGGGCGGCGGCGCGCGGGGAGGGGCTGACGGCGGGGGAGGCGCTGAGGGAGCTCCGGGCGGCTTGGAACCTGGGAGGGCGAGCAAAGCGAAGAACACGAGCTGAAGGTGATGCATAGGATGTCGCAAAATTGCCAGGGGGAAAAGGGGCTATGCTATCAACCATTGAATCTCTTCATAAGACCTCACTAGGAGCTGAATGGTTCTCGCTGAACACTGCTCGTAGAAAGGATTGTGAGCATGGGACCAGCGCGTGGGTCCATCCCTCGAGGTTCATGTGAGCATGGCCAAAAGAAGCGATTGCCCCAAAGGGCGTTAGTGTGCCCTGGCTACTGTTGTCAAAAGCTAAGCCAGGCACATTTCCTAGCCAAATGCCATGGAGGCGCTGAAAGAGAGCCCTGTAAGGATAAAACATGGAAAAGGATTGTTGGTACTCAAAATCGCATTTAGTCATGATTGTTCAGAAGTATTGTTTTTTTAATGCAGCTCCTCATACTCTGGGGGAGTCTATCCGTGGGTCTGGGCCGGAAGGGGGGGGGAGGGGCGGGAAGGTTGGTAGTGGCTTGAAGTAAACACCCGCACATCATCAATTCTCAGCCCAAAGATTAAATGCAAAACAAAGAGCTTGGAATTGCGCCTTCTACAAACACACATGCTTGTAGCGGTCAACTATTGATTCTTTCTTTGGCAATTTGGCACCTTTACCTTCCTTCACGCAACCGAGCTCAACATGCACCATGTTTGGTCATGATTCTGCTATTGATTATTTGGCCATGTTGGCCCCGAATTCTTATTTCACGCAGCTGTAGTTTCTACGACCTCAGCTATTTTTTGCCCCTTTCCAACCACGCCAGGATGCTGCTCGTAAGTCACGGAAGCCAGTCGGCTCAGCAGCTGCTGCGGGTCAGTGGGAAGCTGCCGACCTTGGGGCGCGGGGGTGGGGGGGGGGGCGGGGAAGCTTACATCCCCGCCAGCGTAGGGGTTGAAATGGTACCCCTCACCTGAGTCACAATCAAAACCCGGTACTAAAATGGTCTGCCCAGAACCATGTAAGGAATTAAGAAGGCGGCCGCAGCTATTTATGGTTGGGATCGTCCTTTACTAAGCTTCATCTACCCGGGTTTGATTGTGGCTCACCTTACCCCTTGGTGGTTTGCTTTGATTGGACTTTAGAGATCCCGCACCTCTTCCATGCTTCAAAGGGTGGGGTTCAACTCTATCCAAACCACCAAGGCTGGCCTGACGTCCTTATGAACTTGGCTGGAACTAGGACCTCAGCAAAAATATGTTGTTTTGCGCGGTAGTGGAAGACAAAGGGAACCCCAAAAAAGCAAACAAAACAAGGGGAACAAAATTCTGGGGAAGTAAGCAGATGGTTGTGCAAAACCCAAGAACTCAGACTGAGAATTGCGCATATGGTAGGGATCTTGACTGAGCTGGCTTTAAACTAAGCCAATTCTAGTTGTTGGTTTCCCTTTCCGGCTCTTGCAGCAAAATGTCTAGGCACCTAGTGTGTAAAACTCATTGGACTCCACGGCCTGGTCCAGAACGACACGGCAGCCTGCAGATCATCTTGGAAATGACCCCATCAATCGATGCAACTTCATCATGTCCTTCTTCCATCGCACTGTGCGCTGTGTTTTGTCGAGTGTCCCGGTCCCAAACTGCTGTAAACTGAGGATGCAGCAGCAAATAAATATCTGGAGCTCCTCTGGCACACGCTATGTGCGAGGCTGTCCAACTTTCCTCTTGAAATCTGGGAAGTGTACTTGCGTCGGCCCTCTGGATTCCATGACAAGATTGCCAAGAGCCACATCCCGAAGTGCTCTTCGGGATGTTCCAACTCTGGAAGCCAAACCTCCTTCTCATTTACAAGGCGGGCAGCATCCATCCGCGATGATGCATTCCACAGCTGGCAGGTCAGACCATCCTCAGGCACCATTCTCACGAAGGACAACTCGCCTGGCGTTTTGCGAAGCAAGTCAGTACTTATGCATCTAAGTCAGCGAGTCTGTGAGTATCCGTCGCCACCTTGTCTTCACACATCCCGAAACCTCACAGGTACCCCTTTGGATGTTCAGAAACAGTCAACCACTACAACTGAATGTGTTTTCCTCGAGATAAGTGGAGGTTGCCTCCTGGCAGAACAGCTGAACCCTGCGGGCGAGTTTGTCCCAGTTGGGTCGCTAGATGCGCTCTGCGGGCCAACCAAGGTAGCTAACCTTCAGCTACCTCCATCTGCTTAAGCCCCCTGGGAAAATAAACATGTCTCCAGCAGTGATAGATTCCCTTTCAAAGCAACAGGGGAAAATAAAAAACAAACATTCTTAAGCAAATGGAAGGCTATCATGGACCCCACCATGAAGTTTGGACCGCAAAAGTAACTCCTTCCTTCCAGGTGGCCCACATAAAACCTCATCAAGTCCTCAAAATCCTCTCGGAACCATGTCCCGTCCGAGGCCTTGCAACAAGAAGGTTCTCCATGCAGTTCCGAGATTCATCCAAACATCACCCCCGAAGAAAGCTCCTCGCTTAAACTTGGCCAGAGCCGTCCTTCAAAGTCCGTTTGCAAACTGGGGAGGGAAAAAAAAGGCCAACGACCGAAGGACAGGCTTTGGCCACCTGTTGAAATGTGATCAAACCATTTCAGTCCACAACTTTGTCAATGTTTGAATTCAAGCGCGCGCTCCCTTGATCAAAGGCAATCGTGGCTGAGTCAATTTGGCAGCTCAGCCACAATTGCCCAAACAAAGTCGAACTGCCGGCTGAGCGGCGTTCAAATTTGAGGCGTTGTTTATGACACCTTCCTGACCATGGAGCCCTTTTGGACTGCCATTTATTCGCACCATGACCCGCATGACATTTACAGCCTGGAAAGTCCCAACCAGACAGAACGAACAAAGGAACAGTTGCTGCTGACTAGGGAAACCTCATGCATCCCAAGGCATCACATGGACCAAAACTTGAAGACAAAAGCGCTTGGTGACTCACCAAGCGAAACCCAAGACGTGCCCAAACGCAACCCAAGATGCATCCTAAAATGCAAGGATTCACAAGAACCGAGTAAGAGGAGAAAGGTATTCGCGCAAAGAAAAAGTCTCACTTCGGCAAAATCGCATGTAGGAACAAACCACCCTAGCCTCAAATCTAGTGATGCCCAAAAGGTGAACTTTTGGACTAAGTCTACCTCACCTTCTGTTGCTCAGAGGATCTTAAGCCATCCAAAACAACTCTTGAAGTTCCCCCCTTGTAGTCTAACTTACCTTCTTTTGCTCGGAGGATCTTAAGCTATCCAAAACAACTCTTGAAGTTCCCCCCTTGAAGTCTAACTTACCTTCTTTTGCTCACAGGATCTTAAGCTATCCAAAACAACTTTTGAAGTTCCCCCCTTGTAGTCTAACTTACCTTCTTTTGCTCACAGGATCTTAAGCTATCCAAAACAACTCTTGAAGTTCCCCCCTTGTAGTCTAACTTACCTTATTTTGCTCAGAGGATCTTAAGCTATCCAAAACAACTCTTGAAGTTACCCCATTGTAGTCTAACTTACCTTCTTTTGCTCAGAGGATCTTAAGCTATCCAAAACAACTCTTGAAGTTCCCCCCTTGAAGTCTAACTTACCTTCTTTGGCTCACTGGATCTTAAGCTATCCAAAACAACTTTTGAAGTTCCCCCCTTGTAGTCTAACTTACCTTCTTTTGCTCACAGGATCTTAAGATATCCAAAACGACTCTTGAAGTTACCCCTTGTAGTCTAACTTACCTTCTTTTGCTCAGAGGATCTTAAGCTATCCAAAACAACTCTTGAAGTTACCCCCTTGTAGTCTAACTTACCTTCTTTTGCTCAGAGGATCTTAAGCTATCAAAAAGCACATCTTGAAGTTACCCCCTTGTTGTTTTTCCCTCGGACCCCTCATCTTCCTGGGCTGCCCTCAAATCCCCTCAACGTTTCACTCTTCGTGGGTTGAAATGGAAACTACCACTAAGCACTACAAGGAGCTAAAAAGCCAAGGAACCGGATGGCTGGGAGGCGCCAAAAAACTGTTGCTCTAAGCACCTCACTATCCAAGAAAACATCTCCTCACTTGCCCAAAGCACCTGGAAATACAAGGTGATCACCTTTTGGGACCTCTACTGCTACTAAAAGTAGACCAAAATTGGAAAACCAAAAGGTCAGATCCGGTCGTCTTTCAACAACTGAGTATCTTGAAGCGACCCCCTGGTTGTGTTTCTCTCAATCTCGGGCTCCTCTTCAGATGAGGCGCAGGTCCCCAGTGCGTCCAGCTCCGAAGGTTCCGAAGGCACCAGCTGCGCGATGGCCAGCATGGCGCGGTGCGCTGGGCCCTGCAGCGGCTCCGACTGCGCTTTGCACCTGGCGAGGGTCGGTCGATGCCATGTCCGGTCCGGTCCCTGGTGGTGCTTTATCAAGGGACCCACAAAAAAAACAAAAGCAAAAACCTAAATATATGTCTGAAAAAAGCAAACCCTGAAAAAACACGATGGTTGTTTGAGTTTTTGTGTGTTTTTTTTTTTTTTTTTTTGGGGGGGGGGGGGAAACACAACGTTTTCGGATTGTTTGCAGGGCACGGTGCTTTCTATAGAAGCGAAAAACCAGCTTGGCAGACCAGCAGGACACTTTCGTTAAGGTACTCGAAAAAGGACCCTGCAGGGTCATATTGTAGCAGGGGCAGCCGCTTTCATGGAGCTTTCATGGAGGGGGTGATTCTTTTTTAGCTGTTCTTTGTCCACCTGAAAAGGCCGATTATCTGATTTTCCCTGCAGCTTTCTTCTGTCTCAAATCGAAAAACCCAGAGAAACGTGTGGTTTTGCTTTGGCTGTTGTCTGTGTCAAACGGCTTGTCTATTGTCCCTGCATTAACCAACATGGCGAGTCGGCGAGTGGCAAACTGACATCATGGCCAAGGCGGCTTTCCTTTCGCCCTCTCTCGCCGATTTTTGTTGTCCAAATCTTGGCTGGAAAAATCGGACCCCAGCAAAAATTTGATCTTTTTTGCCCGGTAGTGGAAAACAGTGGGAACCCCAACAAAAGCAAAACAAAAAAGAAGGGAAGCCAATTCTGGGGAAGATGGGGGAGGCGCCAATTCTTTCCCAACTCGGGGCGCTCCGCTTCGATTTGGCGGAGCCGCGCGTCGCGCAGGATCGGAGAAACGACTCCAAGAGCCCCGAGGCCACCGAACGAAAAAAAAGCACAGGGCCAAGGAACCAAACAATCAAACCCACACTTGGTTGACGTTGGAAGGGGAGCAAAAAAACAAAACAAAAAAGCAGTTAAGTGGGGGTTTCCCCCTAAACCACAATAAGCAAAAATGTATAATGATTCAACAACCATGCACAAAGCAACCAAAAAGGGCCACAGGCCCCAAATGCCACGAAATGGCACCAGCCTGAGCCTCCGTAGCTGCCGTGTCTCCAAATTCCTGCGCCGCCCGAGCCGTTCTTGCGGATGTGCCGCAAAGACTCGCCAAATGATCAGGAAGCCTAAACAGGGACACCTTTTGTTGATCATTTTTTGTAGGACCCTGATAGACAGAATGGCACCCATTTAGGTGGAACATGTTTACTTGGATCCCGACCCCTGCAAACAAAGATAGATTTGGCGGAATCCACTGAAACAGCTGGGGTCCCTTGAAGAAACCCTGAAAGATGGTTTACAGTTTACATCAAAAGAGGCTTGAGCATAAGTGTCCTTTTAGGGGAAATAGATGGCCCTGGTAGATGAGGTAAACCAGTGCCATCTATTCTTCAACCAAAACAACCAAAAAGGACACCTATGGGCTTGAGGAAAATCCCGCTTCGGCTGCGAACCCAAGTCCCAGCTGACTTGCGGTGTCCTCCAGGCGTCCAGCGCTTCCAACAGCTCCGGCCGCAACTCCAGCGGTGCTTCTGGCGCACCAAACCTCCGATTCAGCGCGGGGGGGGGGGGGGGAGCGAGTGGCGGGGGGGGACTCAGCGGCTCCAGAGCCGGGTCAAGCCAGCCCGTATGCAAACTGCAAACTATTTTTTAGGGTGTCTTCATCATGGAAACCCAAGCTGTTTCAGGGGATTCCGCCCAAAACTCTCTTTGTTTGCAGGGTCCGGGATCCAAGTAAACATGTTCCACCTAAATGGGTGCCATTTTGATTAAGTGGGTTTGGATTATTGCTATTCTCGAGGTGTCCTGGAGGGTAGCTTGGACTTTGCCCAACAAGAGGTTCAAACCACGAAGCCGCCAATCCAAACCACCAAGTTGGGGACTTGCGGTTTGGTCGCAAATCGGATTGGAACAAATCGAGGGAGGTTCATCGGATACGTCCCGAGTATGCTCCTTGCTTAGTGCCCGCCAGGTTTCCCCCTTAAAAAAGGTGCTCTGGGCAGCCGTACCAGGGGCCGAGTGCAAAGCTTGCATGAGGGCAAGTTAGCTTTGAAGTTAGAAACCATGCAGGGGCGTCTCCTCCCATACGGGCAAGGCCAACAGCAGCTTTACTTGCATTCATGAGAGCAACAAATCAAGGGAAGACCTGTCCAAGACTAACAGTCAACAAAGATGTGTTTTGGCTCAGGCCAACAGATTTGCATCATTACCACATACATGAGTTGGAATTAGTGTGCTGATCATTTACTGAATGGTAAAGAGTGTTTCTCCCGAAAACTATCAGAGAACCTGAGAGCCAGCGATTTGTTTGGGCATCAGACCTTTGGGCAAAAAGAATGAAGAAGCACAGTTGACAAACAAAACAAGGATCACACAAGCACACCACATAGCCCCGCTCCTCTCCCTAACCATGGGGCAAAGACTAAACGTCAGCAAAAGTTTATCGCCAGCCTCCACCGCTTTGGCTACAAGTAAACCCACAAGCAGGTCTCACTTCTGGGCTTCAGGCGAACGGTTTGTCGCATGGCCTGCCCCCTTACGCATGCCCCCGTTGACCAGGGACATCTCCGGAATGGTGGTGCTTTTGGTCGGGTCTGCACGAACCACGGCTTCGAACCCCCAAGCCAATCCAAACCACAAACCAAAGCTTACCTGAGATCTTGGTTGAAGGACCACTAAGTAATCGAAGCAATGCATGTCCCTGCTGATCGGGACTCCGGACATCCTCAAACTTATCTTGTACATGTCCGTTCAAAGGGGGAATACAAAACAAACAATATATTGAAAACTTGTGAAAATGCAAACCGTTCACGGACCCAGTTCTTCCCTCCCCCCCTGTCCCTCCTCCCAATTTTCTTCACCAAGTCGTTTTGATGTCGCGATTGAGTCAAAAGAACGAGCCAACCCAAAACAGCCTGCCCAAGGGATCCGCAAAATGTAACCACCTCGAAACAACTTGCTGGGCATCCTTCCGTAGCCCCAAGTGTGTCTCAAAACACTCCACGACTCCAAGTCTGCGAAAAAATGCCCGCAGCTACCCTTTAAATTGGACACACACACATATACATATGTATACACACACCCCGCGACTAACATGGAAGCTCCCAGAAGGCCTCTGCAAATGGAACTAAGTCTTCCGAAGGGGTCCTGGAAGCTTCCACGATAGTCTGGGGAGGGGTTTTGTATTGCCCCTCCCCGCCCACCCATGGTCATAGGTCATACAGGTAGCCCAGCCCCCCCCCCCCTGGTCCTGTAATCTATATGGCTGTGGCTCGAAAACATGTGCCAAAATAGCACCTCGGTACATGGAAACAAAGACCAACACCTGCGTAGCTCCAGCTGTTTCATTTTGAGCCGCACCCATTTCGGGTCTTGCCAGGCGGAATCAACCCCTAGATCTATATGAAAATGTACACACCCTACTTGGGATGTGCGGGGAAACGTCGGGGACTCCACGGAAAATCTCTCGACCGAGGCCGCCTCCGGCGGCGCGCTTGCAGCGGCCGGCAGATGCGCAGCTTCACCGGCGCCGAAGGCTTCGCGTAGGGCCGGGCCGGGCCGCCCCAGGCGCCTACGTGGTAAAGTGGCCCATGGTCAAAACTGAGGCATTAGACTTAGGCCCAGTGATAAAATGTACATTTTATGGTTTGCTTCACTTTGAGTCACTGGTAAAATGTAAATTGTATCCTAAGTCTAATGCAGTGAGGCCCTACATGGAATATTCATCTGTACACAGTCCCCAAGCCCGGCAATCAAGGGATTCTGGTACAAAAGGCTAGAAGAGATCTGGCGCATACGTCAGGCAGCTGGCGACCGGATCCGGCGACCGGAGGGTTCCGGACCAAATCATGAACATGGGTATCCTTTTGGGGGAAATGGATGGCCCTGTTAGATGATTAAACCCAGGGCCATCTGTCTTCTACCAGAACAACCAAAAAGGACACCTACGATCCTGAAATTGGCTACCCTTTCGGGGGTGCGGGCCCCAATTTTTGACATATCCAAGCGACCCACCTGAACTTCCCAGACCAATTCGAATTGTTTTCTCTCCGCCACCAGCGTCAGCGTCCCCTCAGGTATCAAGCTCCTGTCTGAAAAGATGCGGACCACCTGGGCCAAGACCCCAGTTGCAAAAAGGTGGCGGGCTTACGTTTTTTCAGGGTAAAAAAGGGAAGCTAAAGGAAAGCCAAAAGCAAAAGGGGCCAACAGGTAAGATAATCAACAATGAGATTCCAGGATGCTACGCACGCAAGCTGGAACCCGTATGTTAGAACCTGTTTAGGGTGCCCTGAATGAAGTCTAGCAATGCCACATCCTCATCCTCGGAGCCGTCGAAGTAGAGCTTGTAACCATATCCCAGCAGCATCTCCGCCATTTCAGCCGGCGCCTCTTACAGGGGGCTGTTAGAACCAGTCTGGTGCAGGGGAGTCTCTAATGATTGGCCCTGTGCGAAATCGTGAATGCATGGCACAGGTCCACCTCCAATTCAAAATCCCTAAAGTGATGGAGTGCATTTGGCTTCTTTTGACACAAACCCAAGCAAGACATCCCTGGAAAAGACACCATCAGCTACCGTGTTTGGGGTCTCAAGCCTGGGAACGCCTGAACATCCCAGTTGAAATCTCCGGAAGGAGCGGGAAACCAAGATAGATCAAGCCAGAAGACTTGAGGAAAAGCGCCCTCACTTGTTGAAACACGGTTGGCCACAACTCTCCAACCAGCGTTTTTTCGGCTTTGCTTTTGCAGTCGTTCGCTGTCATTCGCCGTTGTTTGCTGTTACTAGCTTGTTGCTCGCTTGGCCGCGGAGAAAAGACAAGAAAAACCAAGGAAAAGACAAAGGACAGCATCTCAAAGCATGGTACCAAGTCGTACTGTGAATGGACCAAATCCTGCTCCGTTTGAAACCATGGTTGAAACCGTTGTTGGTATTCACAGGCGGGTCATCAGAAACCGGGGTTTCTTAGGTGGTGCGAAATGGATTTGGCAACCAACCACAGTAGGGTAAGGGTGGGAAAAGACTATCTGTCTGATGGTTTCTTTGAGGTGCTAGTGACTTGGGCCCAGTAAAGCAGACAGAAACAACAGCCACCTGCTGGAACCATCCACAGTTCTAGGGGTAGCTTCCCCATTCTTTTCAGGGATCCTTCTTTCTAGAAATCCACCAAAAACCTTGGGGAAATGGCGATCGGCTTTTGAAAAGAACGATGGCTGAAAAGAATGGACAAATAATCAATCCCTAGAAGATGGACGAAATCCATTTCGCACCTAAGATACCCTGGAATGAATGGAAAAGGAATCCCCTAGATAGAACAGTAGGCTCCGAGACTGGCCTTGTTGTCCCTCAGGACGGATGCCGCCACCACCCGCGCCCGGCCCTCCTTGAGCAGCCGCTTCGCCGAGCGCAGGGCATCGAACTCCCGGCCCAAGACGCTGACGCGGAGGAGGTCCACCTCGGAGGGTGTTCAAAGGCTGAATTTATATATATATATATATACATATATATATATGAGAATACACGTATATATATATATATGTGTTCTAAATATTTACATGTTTATGAAACAATATTAACTATATCAAACGGAGTAATTGTTGTGTATATATATATATGTGTGTGTGTGTTCTAAACCTCCACATGGAGCACTCCAGAAATATATCGTGGACAAGTTCAACTGTTCCAGAGTTGGGGAGCTATGCTACATATGCCAGCTTCATGTTCCAGATTTTGGGATGACTTGCGGAGAAACCTACTTTGTCCCACTGTCTTGGACAATCAACCATGAATTATGGCGCTAAATTCTGGAAGCCAGCTCCAGAAGGTGTCCAAAATTGCCAGACATATGGCAGTGGGTCAAACCCTGGTAAACGGAACAACCACAAAAACCTGCGATCCCCTGGAGGTTTACGCGCTGCGTGCCGATTTGCGAGCCGGGTGTGAATTCGCTAAAAGGTGGACTCTCTTACCCTTTCAGGTTTGGGCGCTGAACATGACTCTGAAAACATACTAGGCGGGGGCGCTGAAGATGTCTTTCCTGAATCATCTTTGGGGTTGCTTGCCTGCCTTGAGGAACCAGTGGTTCGAGGCCGCGACAGCTTGTACCACTTCAACCTACTTCTACTTCTTCTTCTTCTTGGGGAGAAACACCATCCTCACCTCCAAAGGACTCCTGCACTTTTTAGTGGCAGATTTGGTGAAAAGCCAGGCCGCGCTCCCGGTCCCAGCTAAGTGGAACGGCTGACCGAGTGGGGTCATTACACGAGGGAAGCAAAGCGAACCGCCTGTCAGACGCAGACTCCTGACTCAGAAAACATGGAATCAGCAACAGCGGAAGTTCTCCTTATTTTGTCAAATCAAGGCCTTGTTAGCTTTGTTTGTTTAACACGTGGGAAGCTGTGTGCAAATGGACCACAGCCGAAAGCTCTTAATGTCAACATCGGATAACACAAGCCTGTTGATAGACATAATCCCACTTCCTTAATAAACTCCGAAAGAAATCTGAAAGAATCTTCCCGCCTTCCACAAAATCCGGAAAGAACATTCAGCAAACATGCACGAACTGAGGGGCAAATCTCATCTACCCTCCATAACTTCCTCAAGAACCAGGGCTTCACATCCCCAAACCCCCAATCCAAGCACATTTTAGGGTCACCTGATAACCAGTCAAAGGCCGGCAGAGGCAACACTCTGGCCTGATCCATGCCCTCCTCCTCCAGGATCGTATCCAAGCTGGTGCACGCCATGCTTTCTGAGCCATTCGCCGTCATCGCCTCCCGCCACCCCGGCTGGCTCAGCACCCCCGTCCTGGATCCGAAGACGTGAAAACTGCGGAAAAGATGCGATGAAACCAGTTGTGACCTGAATGCTGATGCTTAAGCGTATATGTATATACATATATCTAAATATATATGTAATAAATACAGATATATATATATATATGTTAATATATGTGCATGTATATATAGATATATATATATGTATATATATATATATGTATGCAAATGTTTTACTTAAACCGGTTCGGTATATGGGTGTGTCTTTGGGGACTCCCCCCTGATTGTTTTGGTGGTTCTTTCAACGACGCACGCATTGGATTCATGTCTTGGTACTGTTGCGTTGCACTTGTCTCCAAAGAAACGCGGGGTTAACTGTGTCCCAGCGATTCATTGGGGAACCTCCCTCTATGATTGCGCTGCAAAAGAGGAGAAGCATTCGCGCGTGTAGCATGTCCAATGTTCTCCCCCAACGCCAGCACCACATCATCGCCAACATCCCCTTCATGCAAGCACGCACAAGCTTGTAGTTGCGCACAAGCAACAATACAGACACATAAGTAGCAGATTCAACTGAAACTCATAATTGGGCCTTCATCTTGCTGCAGCACCACTTCTTGCCAAGGAGCTCATCAAACACCAGGTCGAACCTCCGCTCATCGCGTTCCTCCAAATTGTTGTGGACAACATGTGGTACCAAAATGGGATTGCTGGCTGCTTCATCCACTTGCGCAACCAAGTTCCCATAAATCTGCAAGTGGACAGAACAAGGGTCCTAGGTGTAACACGTTTGGCAGCTCAGCCAGAAATATCTGATTCCCTTACGATGGCTCATGGGAACCTTGGGAAAGCCTTCATGTCATTCACAAAGGCCAAACTCAAACTCTCAAGTCTTGAGCTATCACTTTTTCTCCGCCCTTCGTGGCTTTTTTTCGGGAAGTGAACTGGTGTGAGCTGACTTGAAGCGAAAGGGAAATGGTTCCGTTGTGAAACCGCCTGGAAAGGCACGACACGGTTGCCGAGTGATGCTTGAAGAAGAAAGAAAAGGACACCCCCTCTTGAATCAATTTTGTGTGGCGAGCTCAGACCAGAAGCTATTCAAAATATGCACTGAACAGCCGGGGGGACTGAAGCACACAACAGAAACTCTCCCGGCTTTGGGCGAACTCGACCATCGCCGCTCTCCTCACAGACGAAGTGCTGCCGCACCTTGAGCCGCGGGCCCTGGGCAGGCGATGATGAGGGTGTCCAGTTGGTTTCCCTTTCTAGGTCCTCCAGATTTGAGAGGTTAGAATAAGGGTACCCACATTTTGTGTAGCCTATTTTAGTAGAGACCCTCAAGGGCACTACTGGGGGACCTTGCTTTAACTTGCTGGTTCTCAGCAAGGAAATGAGAGAATACCCCCTTTAAACCATTCCTTGTGGTTTTCAAGGGGGGCCCTGGCTTCATTCCCAAAACCGTAGGTCATTGCTTATACTGAGACCCAGCAAGTTGAACCATCCCCAAAAAAGGAAACACTCAACAAAACACAGCCCCGCACGCCGTGTTTGTTGGTTGAAAGGGTGCCCAGTGCCCCACCCATTTTGTCTTCCATTTGGTTAAGACCCCTGGAAAAAAAAACGTATTTCGAGTAGTGATAGCTTCCCTTCAAAACCAACAAGGGGAAAATCACAAATATTCAGTTCAGCAAATGGAAGTTGTAGAGCCCCCTGAGTGAAGACAGACCAGAATGCCAGGGCCAGGTCCAAAGCTGAGCCTCGAAAAAGCTGAGCGAGAGGGAAAGATCAGCCTCGAGGCCC